TGGTGAGAACGACAAACGAATCTCTTCACCATGTACTTTCATTCGAAATGAAGGTCCCCCTAACTATGTTAGACCTGATTTGTGAAGAAGTATGAAATGTAAACTTTGCCCTTAGCCCCCAGAGTTCTTTCCACTCTTGCATGTGTATACCTATTCACTTGCTCTCACGCTTTACCGAGAACTCATTGAGACTGGAGCGTCAGACATGAGATCTGATCTCTTTCGCGATTGGCTGAACTCAGTATCCTATTGTTTGACCTTGGTTGCCTGGCTAGCAGAGAAGGCGAACCTACTACACGCGCATTATTGAGCAGTAGCCGGGTGAAAAGGATACACCAATCCGGATGGACACAAGTCAACGTACTGAAAAGTACACATTCCATGCATGCATAGATGCTCAACACAACACACACATTCACCATTAGCGACGTGACTACTAGCTGGCCGACATATCAAAGCGGTGACTCCGCTGTATTGTCAGTTTTAGGCGAGAATATTTCACATTTGACTACGGCAAGCCTGCGGGTCAGTGCTTATTAGCATTTGCCTACCGCTGAAGCATTTGACGACCTCCTTCAGCAGGATGCATCGAGGGTAAAGACATGCTCTTTGAGACGGTTTCACCAGCCCCTCATTTGTTGAGTCGTTGAGAGGGATGCGGCCAGCCCAACTTCTGCTCTCAGCTTCGTGAAGTTGTGAATTGCTGCATCGATCAAAGAGTATCCTCGTTTGTTTATCGGTGCAACTACCATTATGCGCATCTGTTGAATCCGTCAGACGGAAGATGATAGGCTGACAGACCTATCTCCTGCCCGGGCCACTTGAGCAGTCATAGCCTAGCAACCGCCTACCGGCCAAAACACCCCCCAACTCCCGTGACGAGCCCCTTTGTCGAGGCGGTAGTCTATAAAGTCGACCTCTGCTGAGATTGTCCATCGCATCGCCCGCCTCACCAACATGGACTCCGAGGGGACCTCGACCCTGGCCAGCCAAGACCTATCTGAGAAGGCCTGGTACGTGGTCGGTTGGAGCGAAATCATCGCCTGTACTTTGATGTTAGGATACTATCTGCTGATGGTGCTGTTCGGCTTTATCGGCTGGCTCTTGGCCCGATACCGTATACGGCGTGGTCACGTCTCCGGTCGCCCTCTTGCTCCGGTCCTTACTGGCTTCAATCTGGCCGATGCGGGCGGACTAAGGATCAAATACACCGACGATGAGGACTCTATGTGATGCCTGCCAGTGAGCTGGACTCCTACTGCATGATACATGTGAAGCCATCTCCCTATCAATCCCCACCCAACCCCCCTCCTCTCCTACATCATCTCAAGGCGACAAGCCTCGGCTTGAGCCATACAGTCGGATCGTCATGCCGGGACTCGAGCTTGCGCCGCTTGCGTGGCAGACGAGATTAATGGCATATAAGAGCTACTGTAGTCTAACGTAGGCCTCCCCTTCAACAACATGCCTCAGCCTATCCAAAACCCTCCAAATTTAGGTCAAACATTGATCCTCCAACGTTGGACAGTTCATGTATTAGGTTGAACTTGTGTAAGAGTCAACCCAATGGAGAGATACAAGTTTTGTTTCGCCTATCCACGCACGTATGACATGCACACAAAGTGCGGCAAATGCATTCGCCTAAGTTCGAGTAGTTCATTTTTGTCCAATTAACTTTTTTTAATGGTTGAGAGATTGACAAAACCTATGTAGTGACATGCGTAGTTTGTAAACACACACACACACGCACACATAATTCGAACAAACGAAGGGGCAGAGCCTACCAGCCAAGTCGTTGTCTTAAAAGCACACTCCCGTAAAAGGTGAACGTAGCAGGAGTGCTTAATGGGATTGTAAATAAGGAAATATTTATTTGCTATCTCAAACAAAAAGAATTATTATATCTTGTATGAATAAGCTGTGACTTCTTGAACTAGTGTCTCCAAGGTAAGCCTGACTGTCTTGAATCCTGTTGTGCGTATTATAACTAGAACGTGACTGTCAAGCTCCACTCAGGCAGGTACAGCCTCATGAGAGTACACGCTATCCAACAAAAGTTAATTTTTAATTGGTACCGATTTTGAAGGGGCAATTTAATCTCATATGCACCACAGTTATTGCCAAGTGAAATCTGCCTAGGAGAGCATTTTCGCTTGTGTGGAAAAAGTACAAATTAAAGAATTCAAAGGCTGTAAAAAAGTTAACGAAATGATAATAATACGAATTGTATTCACCCTATTTCGGACTGGTACTTGAATTATTCCTTTTGTGAATGCAAGGCTATGTGAAGTTAAGTGGAAACGTAAGGTGTCATCTCATTAAGATGATCTACTGGTTTTCTAGAAAACCTGGTTATAAACAAAAAAATGATAACAATTTGATGCGAATCTTGGAAAGTGTAATTTTTTTCTTTTCTTTCCATAAAGCAGTTTCATTATTTGTCTTTATCACATTTAAGGAAGTGTATGCCATCGGCGAGACAGAATGAAAGTGAACGGAAGCTAGTGTACGTACACCAGCTGCAGGAAAATATTACTTATGATACTCATTTAGACCTACGTTGAGTTGTTCTTTAGAGTGAAGAAGACATATTCAGAATGAGTAAATCAGTCCTAATTTTTTTGGAGAAATATAATCTAGACACAAGGAATAAGGCTAAGTGTAGCTTCCATTATTAGACTTATTAATCTATCGATGAGTACCACATATTTTACCTTTGATGGTAAGTTATATGAACAAACGCAAGGATTAGCGATGGTATCTTGCCTGTCTCCCATCTTAGCGAACAATTATATGGCAAAATTGGAGGAACACTTCCTCCAGAATGCAATACTTACGCCCAAATTGTTGGATAGATAAATAGATGAATATTTCGTCATCTGGTCTTATGGTGAGGACAGTTTAGATAGTTTCCTACTTTCACTCAACCCGCGTGAAAGGAACATTATATTCACGATTAAAATGGAAGAGAATAGTTCCTTACCTTTTCAGGACGTTTACATCATTAGAGAAGAGGGTAGATTAGGAAGAGATGTTTATAGGAAGCGAACATATGTTGG